ACAATAACAACGACAACAACAGCAACAACAAGAATAACAACTGTGACAAATACAACAACTGCAACAACAACAATAACTACAACTATAACAACAGTGGCAATTACAACAACAACAATACTGAGGACAACATTAATAGAAACACAGTTAGTGCTCAAGGGTCTGCGGAATCAGAGCTTCTCTCGACTGACGCAGAGGAGGAACTCCTTCTCACACCAGTAGAGGAAAAGGAGGCGTCTCCGATGAAGACGGATAATCAGGATCCTCTTGGACTTATTATCCAACAAACTGAGGAGGACCTGAAAAGGTTGGACATCAGGGGAAAAAAGCAATATTTCTCAATATCAGGGATGGCATGTCCCCAGAGGAAGCTCGCAGATATGAAAAGGAAACGCTAGAGAAGCTGAGGGCCTGCGGATCGGGTGTTGTGGCCGACCATCCCCAGAAGAGGGAAAGGTCAGAAAGCAACAGTTCAAGGTTGAGGGAAAGGTCTGACTTCTTATCGGGATGCAGTAGCACAGGTCAAGGTGGCCATCACTCATAAACTGCATCCAGAGGAAAGGCTATCCGAAGTTCAGATGGGGAAAATCAAAGTAGCCATCATGGATGAAATGGATAAAGTTGTGGATTCTCATCCACAATTCACTGCAGCGTTGCAAAGGGATGGATGGATATCCGTAACATGCAACAATAAGGGAGTGGATAAACAGTGTCTGCAGGAAGATAAAGCCTTGGGACGGTTGCAACGTCGTGGTACTGGATGGCGACGACATTCCCAAACAGCATGTCTGCGTCACCTACGTGACAAAGGACGAGACAACCGTCAGTCTCTCCAGGGACAATTTTCTAAGTAGGATAGGGAAGCAAAATCGCAGCCTCAAAATGAGTTCCTGGAGGGTGCTGAGGATGGTAAGGAAAAGGACGGGGGTTGCTCCATCACCTTTTCCGTGGATGATTCCGGATTGGAAGATCTACAGAAAGCGAAGTTCCGACTTTTCCTGAATTTCTTCCGTGTTACCGTTCGGGTTAAAGGAAGAAAATCCTCTCAAGGTGCTGGCGACAGAGCGGGACAAAATAAAAAACCAACGCCCACCGCGACAACGACGAGCACTTTAGGCCAACCAAAAGAGCCAAAACTCATTGGAAAGTCTGAAGTCGCTCCGAAAACGACAGAAACGGAAGGACCATCGACCAGCGCGCCGGATACAAGCTTCCCGGGTGAACCAAAAGAGCCCAAGCCCATTGGAAAGCCCGGTACTGCTTCGGTATTTACATAGTGAAGCTATTGTATGATAATACATTTGGCGGCAGCCCTAGGGCTTGCATTTTGTTTAGTAAAAGGCTAACGTATTTTCTCATTCCAGATTACTGTTCTAAGGATCAGGTAGCTGCGTTGGTAAAGGTGAAGTCTTCCGGGGGTTGGACAGAGTTCATTGTGTGCTCATCCTACTTCCCGGGAGACTGTAACGAACAACTGAAAGATCTAGTGGACTTTTGTGGAAGGAGGAACTTCCAACTAATAATAGGAAATGATGCCAATGCCCACCACAACGTCTGGGGAAGCAGTAATATAAACAAAAGAGGTGAGTGCCTACTTGAATTTATATATAGCAATAAATTAATGGTTATGAATGAGGGCAATAGGCCGATATTCGGAAATGCAATTAGGGAAGAGGTCCTTGACATCACCCTTTGCACTGAGTTTATCGGCAGTAGGGTTAGGGGATGGCATGATTAGGTTTGATATCATGGTCTCCGGGGGCCTGGCAGAAGAAATGTATCGGGTACCCCAATCCACAGATTAGAGCCAATTCGAAACACTCCTCATGAATGGGATTGGATCCATTCCTGCTTCTGTCAGAACGGTGATGGTTATCCAGCTGGCCAGCGAGGCTCTGACCGCGGCTATTACTAGTGCCTACCATGAGAGCTGCCGCGCTAAGCTGAGGCGGAGCAATAGGAAGTGGCCGTGGTGGAATGAAGAGCTTTCAAGGCTTAGACTAAAGACCAGAAAGCTATTCAATAAGGCCTAGGCGTCGGGTTCGTGAGAAGATTATAAAAACTCACTCACGAAATACAATAAAGAAATTAGAAAAGCGAACAGAATTTCGTGGAGAGCGTTCTGCAAAGGCATTGATGAACTCTACAGCAGTGGGTGTCTTCGCAGGATGCTTTCCAAAAAGCATCCTGCTAGCGGGTTGGGCCTTATGAAACGGCCTGATGACTCCATGACTGAGAACGGAAAGCGTTGGAGCTTATGGCGTCAACGCACTCTCCTGACTCGGAGGTTCTTCGGAATCACTCAAATGTGGTCATTGAACCAAGGGCATCCTGAGATGACTGGCAACGATCCCGTCTGGTCTTCGCGATGGGCAGGATTAGATGAGCTGTTTTCTCTTACAGGCATGGAGGGATGTAACCCCACGAGGCCAAGGTCTTTCCGTCCAATTAGCCTTACTTCCTTTCTATTGAAAGCAATGGAAAAAGTGATTGATAGATTTGTACGGGATGATGCACTGGAAAGCAATCCTTTGCATGAATCTCAGTACGCTTATCAGTCGGGAAGGTCTACTGCACTCGCTCTGCAGAGTCTGGTGGGGGTCCCTGAAAACTCACTGGAAGTGTGGGAGGTGGCAGCTGGTTGCTTCCTTGATACAGAGAGAGCTCTTGGCAACACCCCATATCATGCCATCTGCAAGTCGTTGCACAAACGAAGGATTGATACGACGACTAGCAGATGGTTTAATCGGATGCTACAGGATAGGATTATTAAGTCCACCATAGCTGAAGATATACTCTTCATCTCCGCTGCAAAAGGGTGCCCGCAGGGAGGGGTTCTTTCGCCCGCCCCCCTGTGGTCCATTGTAGTGGATGATCTAATCGCTGCTCTTAGTAGCTCCGGGGCACGTGTCTGGGGATACGCTGACGATGTGGCCTTCGCCGTATGGGGAAAATTTGAGAGCACTATTTCTTATCTTCTACAGCAAAATTTACGTGTTGTGGAGAGATGGTGCGAAGGCGTTGGGTTAAATATAAATCCAAACAAGAGCACTTTGGTCGTCTTCACCAGACGCAGAAGCAGGGATAGATTAACGAACCCAATTCTGTTTGGCGACGTATTAGTTACTCTAGGGAGGTGAAGTATCGGGGGGTAACTTTGGATGATCGTCTCTCTTGGAATACCCATATAGATAGAGTTATCGAGAGGGCTACGGCGGCCTTATGGACGTGTAGGAGCTTCATCTGGGGGACCAGGGGAATCAGTCCCAGTATAGCACTGTGGCTATATACGGCCATTGCTAGGCCCATCGTAATCTATGCATCGATTGTATGGTGCCGTAAAGCTCAGCAGGCGGATGTGCGGGCCAAGCTGGAAAAGCTACAGAGGCTGGTCTGCCTGGGAGTGACCGGAGCAATGCGGGCGGCTCCTACCACTGCATTGGAAGTGATGATCGGGTTGCCGCCATTGCATCTCCATATATTGAGGGAAGCTTGGCTAGTGACCGTCTTTGGCCAGGACGGGGAGCTAAAGTCGGACCATAGAACTCACAGAGACTTGCTTGAGAGCGACCCGATTCTAAGAATAACCATATCGGATACCTGTCTGCCGCGGTACAATTTCGACCACAAGTACAGGGTTCTGTTTCCCGATCGATGGACGTGGGATCGGGGTGGTCCGGTACTTGAGTCGGGTTCGCGCGTGTGGTATGCGGACGGGTCCAAAACGGAGTCGGGTGTAGGTTCGGGTCTATACGGTGTCCGCCCGGACACGCGTGTATATGCAACCCTTGACCCGTATTGCACGGTGTTCCAGGCCGAAATACATGCAATAAAGATCTGTCTGAGAATCAATTTACAAAGGGGGTATAGAAACCGCATCATCTATGTGTTCTCAGACAGCAGGGCTGCATTGCTGGCGCTTCGTTCAGCTCAGGTTACATCCAAGCTGGTCTGGGGCTGCCTTGCTTCACTTATGGAATTGGCATCGGAGAACAGAGTCACGATCATTTGGGTTCCGGGCCATAGTGGCCATGCGGGCAACAAAATTGCCGATGGGCTGGCGCGAAGAGGATCTGGGGCTGACTTTGTGCAGCCGCTGCCTTTTTGCGGTCTGCCTTCTTCCGCCGCGGGGGCCAGGCTTGCCTGCCTGCTCGCGGCGGAATGCGGCCGTCACTGGCGGGACGCAAAAGGGTGCCGTCATGCGAAGGTGTTCCTTTCGACGTGCTTCAGCGGATTCACCGCAAAGTTGCTGGGGATGAGCAGGAGCCGGTTTCGCACTATTGCGAATTTCTTTACGGGGCACTGTAGATTTTTTCCCCCCTGTGTAGATTTTGTGGGGGTGGCGATGAGACCGCCGTGCACATTCTCTACGACTGTCCGGCACTGGCTGTTCGGCGCGCCAATTGTTTTGGATATGGGTCCCTAAGTGTTCGGGAACTGTTGTCCAACTCCCTTAGAGATTTTATAGGCGGGAGCGTGGGGAGGCTACAATAAGTCATGAATGGCTTTATTAAATTGATCTTATATATTTAAAAAAAGTCTTACAAATATTTTCATTTCCACTCTTACAAAACTGAACGTTTAAAAAATATTTCAAATAGTTACACTCATAACGTATTTTATAAAAACTTTCTAAGACCAGCTGATGGGAATATGCTACCTTATTATTCTTATTAAGTGCTATGCTCTTTAGTAAGTTTTTTTTTGTAATACTTGTGCCGTTTATTTTTTTATTGATAGTTTTAGCACACTACAAATCTGTAAAAGTAAGATATTCAAATGTGTAAAAAGACTTTGAGATTTTATGTAGAAGTCGAACTTTTAAAAACATGTCTGCATTATCGAAAATCACTATAGTTCTAAAATTTTGGTAAAGTGTTTATTCACACTGGAAATTTAATGTCTTAATATTTGAATTTGCAATTAATTTACATATCTTTAAAAAATTTGCATTCAATTGATATAGCTGCAAGCAACAAATTTTTACGAAAAATAAATTTTTGTTTCCAATTGATTTATTTCATGTAATATTTAACATATTCATAAGTATAAAAACTTTAACAACAATAATATGCTCAGTCAGAATAAATAACTATTTTCTTAAATGAGTTAATGAAACTAAATTGAAAAATTTATTGTGCTTCATTTTTTCTATTTTTTCTATTCTTTTCCCAAAGATTAACGTAGTTCAAAGGATAACAGAGGACAGCAGAAATTGTTATTAATATTCCAGCAAACCAAAATGACGCATTATAACTTCCAGTATAATCATAGAAGAACCCTAGAAAAATATTTAAAAAGGTTGTAACATAATTTTATTATATGTAACCATAGATAAGTGGTCGTTAAGGTAAACTTGTATATTTCTAGTCTTAAGTATTATACCTGCTATTGGTGAACCTATAGCGGCAGCTAATCCTTGAAATAGCATTAAAAATCCAAAGGCATTTGTTAGTTTTTCCAGTCCCATTAGCTCTACAGCAATTATGGATCTCAAAGCAGAGAAACATGCAATACAAATACCAAACATAACGGCATAAGAAAACTGAACGCCTGAAGTGATAGAATAACAACTTAAACAAGTTGCAACTCCGCCAGCAGTTATAGCAACATTATTTAGATGCAATGCACTAATTTTGAAAGAACTCATCATACCGCATACAATCCTAGAAACGGTATTTGTTATACCAATGACGGATATAATGAAATTGGCAGTATTTTCATCCATACCATTTTTTATAGCACGACGTTCGATAAAAATAAAGGGTATAAAAAAACCCATCATAGTTAGGAATCCACTTGTGCATAAAAGCATAAACGACGGTGATTTTAGTAGCTCGACATCTAACATGGTTGACAATGTGCGCATAAAAGCTTCAGGAAAAATTTTACAACCAGGCTCTTCCCGTTCTCTTAAATCCTTTGTGGTGGGAAGTCTTGTTACTGACATATGGTATGCCAGGGATGTCTGCGACGTGTATTGAGGAATTCTTACTAAAGATCCAGTAAAAAAAACATCATCTCTGTACATTGGTCGAATATCACAATGGCTCCCTAATTTGTTGTTTCTTGAGCCGAATTCTCCCGGCCTTCTAGACGTGGAAACGGTATGACGCCTGCCTGACAGATTTTGCATTTCTTTTACAGTTTTTTCTGTCACCAATAAATTATGGCTTTCAGTTTCCTCTTTCTCTTCTTCTCTCTCGCCAAGAGTCGCAAGTTCTTTTGTTAAGTTAAAATTTGGTTTTTGCACATCATTTGTATTTTGCAAAACATTACTTTTTTTTAAAATTTTCAATTCTGTTCCTTTTTGAGAAAAATTTGTAAAATTTTTTTCTAAGTGAGCTGCTCTGAAAACTTCGAAAGCTGTTGGATGATGTGAGTTACTGGCTTGTCCCATATATGTACTATATGCGCTATTTGGAACAGAAAAAGCAAGTCTGCCTTCGGGTAAAGGTTTAATTAAATGACTTTTTGAAGAAACTCCTTTGTTTAAACTTAATTTTTCATTTATTTCTTCCTCTTTATTTGAAATTTCAAAGTGAATTGGTGGAATCGGCCGATACGCCATAGCATAAATGGCGCACGATAATATTATGGCGCCTTGAATTACTAATGTGTTCCTCCAACCAGACTGTTGAATCAAAAATTTGGTTAAAGGAGCAAATATAAATGTTCCGACTCCTGATCCACATAAAGCGATTCCAGTAGCTAAAGCACGCCATTTTTCAAAATAGTAACCAATTGTAATAACTGACGGTATATAAATTAAGCAAAATCCAATTCCACCAATTATGCCATATGTCAAAAACAAAAATTCAACGCTGTTTGCAAAATATGATAAACAGAACGCTGATGATGCAATTATAGCTCCAGCTATTGTTACTGGGCGGAATCCAAATCTGTTACATAATGCACTTACAAAGGGTCCTGCAATTAAATAGAATCCGCTTAAAAGAGAGCTCACCAGAGCGACATAGCCTTGGGAGGCTCCAAAATCATTCACTATGTACATTTGAATAGCGCCAGAACTAAACACGATCCCATCTACCACGATGTTACATAAAAAGGATGATATCATAACAATCCACGCCCATCCAGCATCTGGCGGAATAGTAACAACTGCTTCATCTTTTTTATATTCTTTAGTTTCATCTTGTTTGCTATAACATTCAGCATTTTTTACATGAAATTCGGACGAATTAAATATTTTATTGTTATTCATCGGGCTGGAAAAAATACCAAAATGAAAAACGTAAGTTAAACTTATAATATTATGTAAAAAATAAGTGAAAAAATAATTTAAATATGTTTAACTGACAAATATGTCAGTTAAACATATTTAAATTAGCTATTGTAAAAAAAGTTTAAACGTAAGCTCAAAGAAAATCCGGTGTTCCCCATTGTCATAACCTTTACTACCTTTATTTTAAATCGTCTCCTACTTTTATTAGAAACGATTTTAAAATTTGATTCTAAAAGGGCTTAAATGAAGAAATAACTGCAAAAACTATGTAGACGGTTTACATCTACATACATCATGTGACAACATAATTTTTATTATATGCCATGTCCAGAAAAAGTATTCATATTGTCGCGATAATACTATAAATAATGAAGTAGATAAATAGATCAAAAAATTACGTTATTATTATTACCTGGTAAATTACAAATAAAGGTTACTATTATTATCTAATAAATTATATCAATTATTTGTTAGGCTCTCACGCTGCTTGACACTTCAAACTGATTTGAAAATTTGAGCAAAGAAGTGTTAGAAGAGAACTTCAAGTTCCTTTATAGCCCAAAATAATATTAGTATGTGTTACAAAAGCTGATTTGAGTAGGAAAAGTTTAAAACAAGCATACAGAATAAATTAAAACCAAAAAATAAAGTAAGGTAAAATTCAACAAAATCAATATACAGTAAAAACAATAAACAAAGTGTATACAACACAAAATTATCTTATATAGTTAGGAAATCATAAAATACTAGCATTTAGTATCAATAATCGTCAAAATTAGTGTAGTTAGCACACAAGTCAAGTAGGTGAAGACATCAAACATAAAAAAAAAGAAAGGGCATAGACTATCTGGGCCATAAAGCATCTCCAACATCTGCAGTACATACTGCTTTCTATGCGGACGCTCTATCAACTGAGCAACAACAGACGCATAAATGCATTGCCGGCAAATTGTTCTTCACATTGCGTTATATTGTAATTTACATAATTAATGACTTTATATCTAACAAGTCCCAATACTCAATTTTTTTTACGAAATATTTATTTCGTTGCTAGTTTTTTCTTTAAATGCCACTGATCGTGTCATATTTTTTATTATTTTTTTCTTTTTTTTTTAAGTAAAAAAGAGTTTAATATTTTAAAAAATTTCAGGATATTATACACATTTTTTAAAAAGCTTCCCATTTAATCCTTTTGCACGAAAAAGAAAGAAAGGTAGGAGGAAAGAAACAATGAAAAAAATTTCAAATTCAAATTTCAGTATGGTTTCAAATATTAATGAGGAAGGATGTATAATTTTTTATGCACATTTTGTATTTCCCAATAAGGTAAGTTGAGTAGTGTCGGATAACAAAAATGTTATTAAAAGTAATATAGGTTGACACATTTCAACAATTTTAATTATCTCATTTCGGTTATTTATACGTTACTTATAAAATTGTTTCAAATAATTTCAGTTAGTTTTTAAGTTATTAAAAATAAATATGTATGTACCTACTTCCAATAAATTTTTTTTCAAATAATTATTTCAAAACTATTTCAAACATGTTATATTGAGTGCTTCAAAAATTTTGCTGTGCTCTTTTTTCATATTTTATTAGCAGGTAAACAAGAGCAATCTATTTATAAAATGTCCCTGCATGTGTATGTATGACCTATCTTAATTCTAAACGGAAAGAATTTTAAAATACCTGAACAAAAATTTTAAAATACCTGTTATTTTACAGTCGGAATTTTCGAGTCATTTGGGAAAATTCCATTTATTTCAAAAATAGAAAAATATTCAAATCCGGTCATAAAAATATATGATTGTTTTTTCCAAACATTTTAAATATTTTTTTTTCTCAGGTAATTGATATAAATGATAGTAAGTTTTTAATATTTTTTCAAATAAAAATAGAGGTAAAATTTTGAATTTTATATAAAATTTGTATTTAACAAATAATATTTGATTGTATTTAAGATACTATTTTCTAATTCCCTCTTCAAATTTTTTCTTTAGTATGTATTTATATTAATATTTAAGAATTATCTTTCATTAATTATATTTTCAACTTGACACCACAGTTACTCCCCATATCTTGAGTTAACTTACCCTATGAGAAAAAAATGCTGTTCACTTAAAAATAATGAAATGCTTTCAGTAACATATAAAACGTTGAAGGCGAAGGATGTGCTTGTTGTTTTTCCGTTTTTTTTTTAATTTTAAAATAATTATCAATGAAAATATTAATATATTTTTTTGATTTTTCAAATATATTTTCTAAATTTTACCTGCTTTATAATAAGTGTGAATTTATTTTAATATTTCTTCTCAAAAAATAGCCACTTCGATTTAAAAAACCCCATATAAAATAAGGTCGTGCTTTCAAGTTTCTCTCTGAGCATTGGTACTTGTTAGATATAAAGACATTAACATAATTATTAAGTATTGTTTACATGAGATGCTACATGCAATCTTCTATTTGAAATCATAGACTCCTATAATGTACAAGACATGTTAGTATTTTTGTATTTGTGTCTATTGATTATTGTAGAAAAAATGAGACTTTAGTCCATATATAAATTTCGTACGGGAATTGTGTCGCTGTGCGGTAAAATAATTTGTTTGTTGTTTAAAATTTTTAGTAAAGTTGCGTCGAAGGAGGCAGAAGCTATAGCCTACGAGGAAAGGAAAACGAACGTGCTATACCTTATATTTCCAAAGAATGAAGTCATCAGGGATAAATGGATACAAGCATTAGAAAAAGGAATTGAACACCAACGAATTATTCAGCGATATGCATTCAACATTTTCGGTCGGAAGATGTACAACATAACTTGATGATACAAAATAAAAAAACTCCGTATGATTTGTTGAGATCAAAATTGCTTAACGTCGCAATACCTTCTGTTTTCCCCGGACGTCCGCATCCAAAAGAAATGGGCTTGCAGAAAACCACCAGATGAACAAAGGAAGGAAATCTTAATAAGAAAAGAAATGGAAAACCAAAAAGTCCTTGTAAACGATATGATATGTACTTTTAACGATATTAAATTTGATTTAAAAAAAAATTAATGCATAACGATACAAATATTTTGAAACTTAATTTGTCATAAGATTTTAATGATCTTTTTCAACATTTTTTTGCATATTCTAGATTTAGCTTTGGAAATAATTCTTGACGAATACAATTATGTTAATGAACTTATTTTTTTAATAGATCAAATTAAATTACTTACAATTAAGAACTAGTCGTGTGTTTTTGTATTGCAAGCCTTGCAAGTATTATTCCTGTAGTTTTGAAATTGTGTTCCATTCTGTGGCTGAGATATTTTAAGTTTACTTTATATTTTCAAAAACACACCCGTAATATACATACATATAGATATACTTTTTCCTAATAAATAATAAGATAAAACTTAAAATAAGAAAAGTTCTAAAAATAATTACCAATGAACTTTTCCCTTCAACAAGTGAAAATTCTGCTTTTAAATACAGTCTATGTATACCTATCACACTATTCAAATTATTTTCATTCATATACAAAATTATTTCTAGGATTGCATACATTTAGGATGAACGATTTATACAGTCTTTGAAATAAAGCAAAAATTAATATAAAGTGGGGTTAACATAATTCTCGATTTTAGGGGTTAATTGTTTGACTTAAGGAAAATAATTATATTTTTTAATGTCATGGAATTTACCGTTAGCTTTTTGTGTTTATAAAAATTTGAAAAAGCTTGCGGTTTCGGAAATATAAGGTGTCAAAAATTCAAATTTTAAAAATATCAAGAGGCGATAACTTGAGAGAGGGTGGAGATGGAAAAAAATTTTCTTCCAAACAAATGAACCATTTGTTAATGTCTAAAAGCCCCTAAAATTTTAAGCTTCTACAGGCTGAGGTCTAGAAGAAAAACGAAATCAAAAATTTGGAAAAAAAAGACTAGATAACGGTAAATGTCAACGGCCATTTTGTTTTTCTAAAGTTTAACTATAGTATACCGCGCTAGGGAAAGCAAGTCGCTGCCTTTAAAAAAGGCCATTTTTAAGATAGGTAAAAATTTTATTCTAAGGAAATATGTTTCTAGTAAAGATCTATGTACGTATTATATTTCAGTTTTCTATCTTCAAGTGTGTAGAAGTTTTGTAGACAGACACACGGACAGACGGACGGACAGAGTGAAACTAAAACGCACTTTTTTCAAACATTTTTTGGAAAAGTGCTAAAAATACATAATTAAACAAATAATTAGTTCCTTTAAGATCTCTTACGTATACAGTCATTTATCGCACTCTAAGCGATAAATGACTGTATACGCATAAAATAATTCGACACTAAAATGCATGTACGTATGTATTTGGAGTTTATAATAGATGCGAATAAGACGCGTGACTCTAGAACGAGTTAACTCCAATACTAACGTGTATAGGTAAATGCGTATAGCATACGATTTCTATGCCTTCTAGAAGTACCCGTACTTTTTGTCACCTGAAAAGTAGCTATATATATGTAATGTAAAATATGATGGTTTTTGATGAGTTATACGAAATATGAATAAAATATAGAATTATAAAGGAAAATTCTAGGTACTGCGTAGCCTTGTGCCTGATTATTTTTTTTATTTTGTTTAAATTTTCTGTTTTATTTTTTTATATATACATATGTATAACAGATAAATGTTATTATAAAAGTTTAAAGAAAATTAAAAAAAAAAATGGAAAAATTTTAAGTACATAAATATGTATGTATGTAGAGTTTTTTTAGAGCTTGTATGAATTGAATAATATTCAAAACTGTGGTTTGCTATTTAAAAATAAATTTTAAACGCATAATTATTAAATCATGGGGGTTAACATACAAAAATTAATTTTTCAAATATAGAAAAGGTTTATGAACATATTAAAGTATGTACATATGAATGTATTAGAATTGAACATTTTGAAATTTTCTGTTGGAACAATTAGAAATAAAATTATAAGTATAAACATACATAATTAT